GTTATATGCTGTTACTTGATAAGACAGCTGCAAAAAAAGCTATTTTCTGATTTTCAGATACAGGAGTTTATCTCTAATGTGAGTTTTCACTGGCAGTTAAAGAAGTTCCTAGAAAACTGTTCCAACTTCCCCCTCAGTACTAAGATGGTGGGAGGCAGATAAAACTTATCATCTACTAATAACCAGCAAAAAGCTTAGGATTTTTTTTAGCTGTAAAATGGGGGCCATTCATTTTTTTTGAGATGACACACTGATTACCTCTACCCCAAGCAGAGGATGGTTAGCCCTACAGAACCCAGACTAGAGGATATAGTGTTGTATAGTCAATGAAAATTATATAAAGGAATATTATATAATCAAATAATATTAAGATGTTACAATAATGAAATAAGCAAGAGAGTTAGGCACAGCGAGACAAAGAGAATAAATAGGATGCTCACCCGTGTTGTGGGCTTGCTCAGGAAACTCCAGTGGAGTGGATCTTCCAAAGAGAGAGAGATCCTTCCCCACTGGTAGTCAGCTCTTAAATGGGTCTAGGAGAGGTGGAGCCAGGCTCCACCCCTTCCTGCAGCACAGGTGAATTGCTTTCAGCTGTGCTCCCAGGGCTGACTCAGTGCTCACCTCAGGTGATTCATCAGAGGTTCAGGCCGTGACTCAGCAGTTCCCATACAAGTGTTTTGGCTGAAAATTTGAAACCTGAAGATTTGGGGCAAAAGACTTTCAACCCGAAGTTCATAGTTTTGATTTGGAAACGTCATTAAGAGGGGATAGAGGACAGTGCTGGAGGACTTCAGCCTGGCCATTTGTCCCATGCTATCCTGCAGCGCTCTCTCAAATGGGAATAAAATGTTCCATTGCCATATGAGGGATGAGGTAGGGCCTGGGAGCCATTTATTGTTAAACAGACACTGATTTTCCATAGGAAAGCAACCTTTTTCTCCTAAGATTTTAGCTGGAGGAAAAAAAAAATGCCATAAAACCTTGCATGTGCTGGCTGTGTGCATTGCTTCAGAACCCAGAGCTCCTGCTCCCTCCCTGAGTGCCCCAAACCAGCAATATCCTACTGGCTTCCTCTCCCCATTAAAATTCAAAACACAGCCTTTCTCTCCATTCCTGTTCTCAGATGACATTTAAACCTGTCAGCAGTTACAACTGGTGTCATGTAATCTCTGTAACCAATGCAAAAATTGCTCTCTTGCTTCATGATGGCCTCTAAAAAAAGAAAACGCAATGGAAAGAGGATGGCTGAGTCTTCCACAAGCACTCCAAAATGCCCATCTGCTGCTTTCTGTATTTCTTGGTCTGAAAGCATTTCCACCGCTCCTTTTCTCGGACAGCGAAATAAACCTGCTCCATAGTTAGCAATCTGCTGTCCCAAACTGCAGAGAGAGAGCTTGATTTTGCTGGATCCCATTTGGCCATGAGGACAGACAGCCCATTCCCTTTAGGCCTCAGATGAGATTTCTTCCACGCGTAGTTCAGCACAGTGGAGTGTATTTCTGGATAAATATTCTTCAGACAGAAACAGTTTCATGTCTGCACACAAAGCCGGAGCCGACGAGTGCACAGGCATGCGCTAATGCTGCCTTGGGCTTTGAGTGAGCATGCAATCATTTCAGTTGCTTTTTTTGCTCTGGGCCTAAGTTTGGCCACCGGTAAACAGTAACATTGTATTGTTTATAGAAAGTGCTGCGGGTGATGGACGGTCCTGCCCGCCTGTTTCCATTTCCCCGTGATTAATGTATTCAAGCCTATAGCCATTTGTTTTTATGAACTTCACAAACAAAAACTTGATGTTTTGGTACCGAGCTCAAATATGGGAACAATTTTATTCTCGATGCCAGCGTTTGTGATGCGAGAACTGAAAGGCATCCAGAAATGCTGTGTTTTCATGGAATATTCTTCAGTCCCAAGATAAAGCATTGTTCAAGCATTACAGAAGCAAAAACAATCCCAGTGCCTTGAAAGCTTTTCGTTCTGCCTCTGCTTCACGGAAACATGACTCAGGGCCAAATGGCTGATTGTATCGTATGATGTAACAAGGAGTTAGAGAGCTTAGCAGGGAATTAGAATAATGCGTTCTGTGTGTGCCTGTGTGAAGGGAAGGGGGGGGCACAGCGTTTATTGGAAAGCTCTAAGTCTTTTTTGCAGCTATATGTTACTCACTCACAAACCTATCCCTTGTTAAAAGCAATGGGATCTGGTGTGTGCCAAGCTCCTAGCTGCCCAACTGAACCCAAGGTCAAGATCTTTTCAGCTCAATTAAAGGCTGCAACATCCTCCTTGCTAGGGTGCGGAGGAAGCGAGCTGGGTAGGAAGAGCAGTGAAACCCCTCAGTGAGGGGAAGGAAGGATCTGGCCTGGCTACGTCATCATAGCAAGCTAAACATCTAGGGACGTTCAGGGCTTTCTGCTGGAGTGGGTGTTGTGCTGCCAGGAAGTGGCTGGTGGTGAGGTGTGAGGCTGCCTGTGCCGCTGGCGGATTTTGTTTTGCTTTCTGTCTTGGTTCTGCCAACAAGAAAAGGCATTAATTGTAAGCGTGAACTCCGAGACGAGGAAAAATCAAAGATGACCCAAGTGCCTGGAGGCATAAAAACAGCTATGGAATTGTTCAGCTTGTTTAATGAAATGGAGCAGCACAAAGACGCAGTTAATGTATAGATTTATATATACAAATACAACAACGCTGGCACTCAGCTTGCTGCAAATTCTAAAATGGGGAAGCCTGTCTCCTGTTGGCTACTGGAAGGAGATTTGGGACAAAAGGTCCCATTAGAAACGTCCTGCCTTTGTTGCAGTGCTGTGCTGGCAGAGTGGGAAGGAGCCTTTGGTACACTGCTCAGAGCCTGAGGCTGGCCATGCTGGGTGCCATGTCCCTAGGGTCTGGTCCCATCAGAACCCACGTGCCCCTGTCCCTCGGGTACCTGGGGTCTCATAACTTCATTCATAACTTCCCATAACATTGAAGGAGAAATCCTCATCTCCTGCTGTACCTGCAGGACAGACAGGGCTATGAGCTGGGTCTCATGGGAGCTGCTGTTTGTTCCCACTGCCTACATTCATGCTTGTGTGTATCCATGCACGTATACCAGCCGTGGGAGACTGTGCCATTCCTCCCCGTGCTGGCAGCACACTGGTGTTCCTTTTCAGCTGGTTATCTGCTTGCAGGGTGAGCAGGGCTGTCTCACCATGTCTCTTTCCATCTCCAGTGATTCATAGGAAAAATGAAATGTCTGTGTTGAACCATATTCAATGCTCATATCTGAAACACTGGGTTTGAATGCCGGTGCAGGTCATTAGGTCCTTAATTTTCTCTTTAATGGATTTTCTAATGCATTTGATGAGTAAATAGAAAATTCCATTTGCAATCTTGGTCTTGAAACGGCCGTAATGTTGCCATTATTTATGTTTACAGAAGTCCTGCAGACTTCCTGGGAGGTGCAATACGTGCAAATGTTAGGATTGCTGGGGCCAAGACACGTGCAGCTTCAGCCCAGGCCAGTGTCAAAGAAACAAGTCGAGTACGTGCTCTGTTTTAGGAGCATGAATGATCCCATTGACTTCAGATTGGCTACGGCTAGACCTGAATGTATTCGTGTTTGCACAGAAAGATGATCCAGAAGGAACTGACTGCGCAGGAGCGATGGGGCTGGGATTCATGTAAGTTTGCAGGAAAGGGCCAGCAGAAGGGGTCACCCCATGCAATGTGTGCTGCCCAATGCTCTGTGTGCTCCCACTGTGTGCAGGTGCTGCAATCTCTAGGAAGCTTCATTCTGCCAGAGCTGCCTGCCTGGCTGCTCAAACAATCTGAGCCTCTCGGTTTGCAAGTACCATGTTTGTGCAGAGTAATGTGATTACACGCTCACGTCAATTTGTGTAAAGTTGGCAGTGTCCTCGGTGAATATTTTTGTACCTCCAGCTTCTAAATGGTATTGCTCTTAGCAGCAATGTATCATCATTAGTAGTGAGACTTTAGTGGATGCACGAGCAAAGTGTGATATTACTTCAACCTCTGAAAATACTGTGTGATAATTAATCAGGCATAGGTTCACTGTGCTTCCACATTACTTGGTAGAGACTAATGCTATGCCCTGAGCAAGCTTTTGGTTACTGGGCAGCTGGTTCCCTGTAAGCCCAGCAGTGCAGTGCGTCCCAGACACCTCTTTTGGTGCAGCACCAAGTACTGACACCTCAGTGCCTGAGGTGGGAAGCCAGCAAGATGAACCAAAGGTCCAGTCCAGTGCTGCAGACCCTCAGCCCAGACCTTGATTGATTTCTGGGTCTCATCCTGCAACTGTTTTGAGGAGCAGCAGTGCTGGCTGTGGTGCTCCCTTCAATAGTGCAGTTATGTATTAATAGGGGACGGCGCTGGCAGCAGAGAAGGGTAGCAAAAGAACGCATTTGTCTTGCTGTCCAGCAAGGCACGTAACAAATAGCAATGCCAAGTATAATCCTGCTTCGGTTAGAACTGTTACTTTGGTTTGTCATCATTCATTGTTCGGAATACAGCTGCTTAATGACAGGATGTGGGAAATGAAGTTTTTTATGTCCTCGTGGACTTTTTAAAATAAAAAATCCCGAACAATGCGGGGGAAGGATGCGATTGCACAGAGCAGTCTGACTGTGCTGAGATGCTGCAGTGACGGAGCTCTTGCCCTTCACTTTAAAAATAACCTGCTGTGTAAACCAGGGCAGCATCCATGCTGCAGCTTTGCTTACATTGCACAGCTGTCGCAGCTGCCCCTGCTCAGCACTAGGGTTTGATACGAAGAAGTGAAGAATAAAAGACAAATGTTATGGATCTGCGTGGGACTGTTGCTTCTTTGCAAGTGCCCTTGGTCCAATTCAGCTAGCGAGTGTTGTGTTTCTATCAGAAATGGGGGAATGGAGGGAACTGGCTGTACAGTCTGGGGGCGCATGGAGATATGAGTGGGACCAGCTGAAGCAGGGGCTGTTCCAGCGCTGTTCTCATTTTTGTGTTCATTTTAATAATGGTCTTCATTTTTGTACAGGCTGTGATGTGGGTCCCCCCTTTGCATGTTCGTTGCTTATTCCTGGCGGTGCAGAACGGCAAGTGGGCACATGATCCCTGCTCCCAGTGGGAATTCTTTTATCTGGGTGTGCTGTGCATTATGTAAGCAAATGGGGAAGCTGATGGGCTTGGTGAGAGATGCTTTTCATCCAGGCATTAGACTAATTTTTGGCCTCAAAAGCAGGCACAGCCCTTGAAGAACCACCAAGGGCTGGGATGCAGCCAACAAATCTGCATAATTGCCAGCCCATCCCCTGCTTCCCTGTGCCTCTAGAAATGTTCTCCCTCCTCCTCTATACATTTGTTAAGCCCTGTCCTGAGCTGTGTGAAATCAGTGAGGAATTCGCCTGAGGTTCCTCTCCGCCAGCTCTGGCCCAGGGCTTCTCAGCAACGTAAGCAAAATTAAAGGAGGTTCTGGGGCTGGGATGAAACCACCCTGGCTTGTGTGCAAGGGCACACAAGGGAGAAGAGAGGAATGGTGATGCTGAACTTTCTGCCCTTAGTGCAGTAAGAAGGGCGGGGAGCTGCTGAATCTCCAGGCTGTGGACTTCCCACATCCCTACCCTAGAATTTTCCGTGTCTTACAATCTCAGCTAAACACCATCTTTTTAGGATTATTTGTTAGTCATTTATTAACAACAGATCACTGCCATGCTCATCTCCACTTTCTTAGTTATAAACTTGTTCTCTTTTTTCCTTACTGTATCCCTTGCAAATTTCTACTTCCAACAAGCCTACTGTTATCTCACTTGTGCTATTTTAAGTTCTGTGACACAAAAACGCTGACTCACAGAAAGCCGTGTTGTAGGAAATATTGGCTCAGCTGAGGAAATAATTCTCCGTTCATTCTTCCACCATGTGCTTTGGTTTTGTTTCTGTCCTTTTTTTTTCTTCCCTGTCTGTTGATCTCATGTTATGCCACACATCTAGCACTGTGAAAGATGGAAAGCTATTTCTAATACACACGGCACTGGTCAGATGTCTTTCCGTATATACCCTGGAGTGTTTTATGTACCTGCTAGAAATGTTACACAGAATGCTCACATAGCTCATAAAATTTGGTCTTGTATTGGAAATGTTTTGTGGAAATATGCTGCTTAATCTACTGCAGCGGCTCACAGTTAATGTTGTCAGCGTGCATCAGAGGTTGTGAAGATTACGACTGGTTCAGAGGAGTATGATACGTTATCACAAGTCCTCAAGAATGAAGCTGAAAGAAAGGAATGTTCCACAAAATGTAGATAATTGACAAAAAAGGGGAAATTCAGGAGGCTCAGGCAACGTAATCCTTATCGCTGGACCCGTGTTGATGCCATGCATCAGAGATAAGTACCTGCACGCACCATTTCAAAGCTAAAGGGCTGTATAAAACAAAGCCTGAACCACGCTAGGGTGTGCTTTAGGTGTTAAGCACGTGAAGAGCAGTGAACGTCTAGGCTGAAATTCCAGCTTGTGGGGTGGGAAGGGTGGAAGGGGGAAAAAAAGCAACCTACCTCTTCTTGACTTCGCAGTGGCTTCAGTCATTGGAGCGAGGTGCCTAATAACGTACTGCAGGGCGTGCTTTGGCCATACCATATAGTTCACTTTATGTTTAATATATCAGAAGATAATGCTTAAGGTATTCTATATGTGGATATAGCTATTTACAAGAAAACATCTGATGTCTATAACATAAGAAATAGAAAAGTCAAGGACTTTTGAAAGTACAGATTGATATTTTTGGCGATATCAACAGCAAAACCTAATTAGAAGGTGGTTTTCCACAATTGCTGTCCTCCGTACATAAAGTATAGCCCTCCTATAAATAATATCACCATCTTTAAAATACTTTATAATAAACACTAATTTACCCTCCCAATTTTCTTGTGAGATAGATAATTATGTGTTAACAATATCATCATCATTAGTAGCTGTGTTAGTCCTCTCTTTTTATAGATGGAAGCTCATGCACTGATAATAAACAGCTTGCTGAAGGCCACATGAGGAGCCTTTCAGGACTCTGATTAGAGAGCAAACAGTCCTGGCTCCCAGTCCTCTGCTCGTGTGGAGGAGGAGAACAACGTAGGTATAACGAGAGAAAAGCAGGAGCTTAAGTGTTGGTAAGAAAAAAGAATCCTCTTCAAATTGGCTGCATTCCTGTGCTGCCAGGAAATATTAAAATATGATGTGATAGTGATAAAGGTAAATATCTAGTAGATTTTGCGCCCTTTGTGCTTGTACTTTTATTTAGCAATTGTAGCACATAGTGTAGACTGTTTTATGAATCGCCATGACACTTAAAACACTGAATTTTTGCAACCACATCCTGGTGCCATGAGATAATCCATTTTGATCTCAAGCTGCAGCCAGGTATGTCTCGCTTGAAACTTCAGAGGTGTGTGATAGCTGCCAGTACCGCACCCTTTTTTGTAATGTTGTTAAAATAAAACAAGTTTGGATTTGCTTGGCCATTGCAGGATGCGAGATGGGAGTTAGAACTCTGCCATGAATGTAGCCTTGCTGTGACCATGTGGCTAATGGCTGCTTCAAGGATCTCCAAGTGGTGAGCTTCCTTTTCCCTTGATAGGCACCGTCCTCTTATGCCAGCAAACCCACAGCCAGATGCAGTGGGAGCAGTTCATTTCTTCTATTAAAGCCAACAAGATTTCAGCCCCACTTGTTTAAATAACAGGTTTAACTGGCACTTGCCTGCATATCAAAGGCAGTATGGTAATTTTTAGGAGGAAAAGTTTGCCCCAGTATTGGCCAGACTTGTCCCTGGTCTCCCTGTTGCACAATGTGCTGCTGAGTCACTGTCATTTCTCACCCAGTAAGAGCGTATCACTGGGGCTGTGTTCGTGCAGCAGAGGGTAATACAATGCATGCTGTAACCAGGAGAGTCTTTGCATAAACAAGAGCTAAAAATGAACGAAGAACATTCCTGGGTTGCTCGTATTTATTTATGCACTGCCATACATGGGAAGTTTCATTCTGGCACCTAAGCTGCGTGGTGGACCTGGCTCGAGCTTGCTTTTCTGAACTCGGTAATCTAATTCCTGCTGATGTTCTGGCATCTCACTCGGCCTTTAGCTTCGTCCCAGTCTGTAGAAGATTTATGGTCAGATAATATACAGATTTAACACAATAGCATGGGTTTTATTATTTGCTGGAAAATGTTAATAAAAAAAAAACCCTAGTATTACAGACGCATTTTAATCCCTGAAGTGATTTTCGAGTAGAATGCATGAATTATTAATTGTTGTTATTGTTATTACTGCAACACATACCTATCTCACAGGACACTGCGAGGATTAATTAATTCTTGTAAAGATGTAAAAGGCCATATAGGTGTCAAGGGTTATGACTAAAGTGCTTTGAAAATGGAAACCCCTCTGTGAGTGCCAAGTATTATTATTTATGGAGTCCAGGCGGTGTGCGTGGTGCTGTGCAAACACCGGTCCAGTTATTGCAAATATTTGCTTGTATGTGCTTAGTAGGCGGAGTACTCACTGTTACAAGTAATTTCAGCTATTTTAAGGATATGCCTTATAAATATGGCTGTAAAAAGACTTCCCAGAAGTTGAGGTGACGAAACCATGGAAAGTGGCAGCACGAAGTAATGCCCTGTGCGGGCTTGTGAGGTGTTCACTGAGCTGGGGCCATAGTGAAGGAAGAGAAAATGGAACAAAATGGAAGGGGTAGAATTATTGCAGCATACATCTGCCAGAATGCACTTTGCAGATTCTGCAGTGCAGAACATGCACGCAGGTAATCACAAGTTCAGTGCGTGATAATCGAAAGTGAAAGCCTGGCACGCTGGAGTTGTGACTGAACATTTGGTGAACAGGAGACCACAGAAACCTTCAGCCAGATGACTTCAGCTCAGCATGTTGTCGCTGCTCGGCAGATGGATGGGAAGGCAGTGTTTGCAGTTTCTGTGGGCCAAACAAGGCAGTCTTGAGGGGTTTTCCCTCCCTCGTTTCTGGGCTTATATTTCCTGTTGCTATCTCGTGGATGTTTTGCAGCCCCTCCCACGTCCTTCTTCAGGGTAGTCCTCTACATGAGGTCCCTTATCGGCTTTCCTTCTGCCTCAGGTTATGTGCATGCTCCCATTCCCCCTTCCTCCACCCACTGTTACTCCTTATCTGCTCCTAACTAGGAAATAAGTCCTTCCAAGTACCGAGAGGTTAAACTCCTTTAGAAGCACAGGCACATCTGAGATGATAACACAGGAAGGTGCGAGTGAATCTCTCGCTACCTCTTCCCCAACCTTCAGCAAACAGCTCATGTCTTCCTTGACAACAACCTTCTCTGAAATTCTGCTGTTGGACTTCATAAACTTACTGCATCTTTAAAGCCTACACACCAGTGCTGAGAAGAGAAAGTTGTCCACTTTGCCATCAAAATTATTACAGAAATAAAGGTTGAGCGGTTTGCAATTACAAACATGTTACCTAGCTTTCTAGAGACTTCAGTTTCTTCATGCAATTTAGTCTTCTTTAAGCAAACGGATTGAAGGCCCACAGTTTTCTCAGAATTAAACAATTTTGTGATGCAAAAAAAAAGCCAAAAAAACCAACGTGCTTTCTGCAAAATTTAAATACTATTCTTCTAAAACAAAGAGAAGCCCATGGACACGACCCTAAAAAATGATCACTGTGAGGTGATGCTGCGCCCAGAGACCCATCCCGTCTGCTTTCATCACGATGTCATGGAGCAGAAGAGTCCCATCGGCTTGGGAGTTGAAGCTCAGGTAATGAAATCTGCCTGTAGCTCCAGAGTTGGGATGAGTGTGACTCTCCAGCAATTTCAAGATATTAAACAAAAAGAAGCTACATCTGTGGCCCGTGTGTCCACAATCGTATTGCGTCAGGCCTGGTGGAAGTGCATTCTGCAGGAAGACACTGATACGGAGGTCCTGTTCCGGCACTGTGCAGCAGGGCGGTGAGGCGGAGGTCCATTTCAGCCCCGCGTTGGTGGAGCCTCACACCGGACCTGGTGCTGCAGTGGGGCCCGTGGCGGTTGGCGGTCACTGCAGTGCCGATGAGCGCTGGACCAGTGCCCGAGAGCACTGAAGTGCTGTTGCAAAAGCATTGTGTGATGGAAAGGACCGCCCGGTGATGAACGTGGCTTTGATCAACAAAAAAATAAACAAACCTGCAACAGAAATTACAGACAGCCTCACATTCTGAAAATGAACAGCACGCAGGTAGGAGACGTTATCACCGCGGAGGGTTATTTTTATTCAGCAAAACGAAAACGGGCACGGGCGTCGAGCGGCGCCGATCCTCAGGCCTGGCTCCTGGTGCCACAGGAGCCGAGCACGGCGCCATTAACATCTTCCCCAGACGAACGCCGAGGCCCGAGCGGCCGCACTGCCCGGGCTCCTGACCCCGCGGCCGGCCTCCCCGCCCCGCTCCCCTTCCCGCCACGGCCCTCAGCTCTCCTCCCCTCGCGCGCGGCGCTGCGCCTGCCTGGAGCGCGCGGGCGCGCGAGGAGCGAGCGGGCGGAGGGGAAGGGAGGAAGGAGGAGGAGGAGGAGGAGAAGGAGGTGGGGGCCCGGCCGCCGCCCCCCGCCCCGCCGCAGGTTTGTTGTGCCGGGCGGCCGCAGCAGGCCGGCCCCGCTCCGCCGCTCCCTCTCGCTCTCCCGTCCCTCCCGGCGGCCCCGCTCCCCCCGCGCCCATTTCCGTGCGGCTGGGCACCCTCTCCCGGCGCGGAGTGTCTGAGAGCCGTTGGCTGCTCCGAGCCGTTTGGCTCCTTCCCTTAGTAACAGCTTTCACATTCTGCCTCAATTCCTCCTCAATCTAAATCACACGCGCACACACACACACAGATATTACTTTTTTTCCTCCTTCCTCGGGACTTAATCTCTAATCCCCCCTCTTTCCCCACCCTCCCCTCCCCCGCTCGCTGGCTCGGGATATAATTGAATATCACAGCGCTGTTTGGTGGCTGCGTGGTGGTGGTTTTTTTTTTTTTTTTTTTCCTTCCTCCTCCTCCTCCTCCCGCGTGTGTGTGGTGTTTTTTGTTTTTTTTTTTTCCCCCCTTTTTATTATTACTATTTTTTTTTTTTACCTCTCGCCGTGGACTTAAAATAATAATAATAATAATAATAATAATAATAAAAAAGCCATTATACCTCTCGGTGTGTACACACACAGACATGTGCCCGTCTGTCTCTATGGCCGTATAAAAACAACCGCGGAGGAGAGGCGGACGCGGGCGGATTCCTCTCGCGCCTCCGCTCCCGGGGAAGGGGAGCGCCGCCGCCCAGGTAAGCGCCGGGGGATGGGCGCCGCTTCGGGGCCGATCCGGGGGGCTTCGGGGGCGGCGTGGGGGTGCGCGTGGCTGCGGGGTGCGGGGTGGTCCTCGCGTCCCTTCCCCCAACCCGCGCTGCCGCTGGCCGCCCCTCCCCCCACCGGGCCGCGTTTTGGGGGGGTTTTAGGGGAGAAACGCAACGATGAGGCGCTGGGGGTGAATTAAATAAAGGAGCCGTGGCGAGGCGGGTGCCGGATCGCCTATTTTTAGCTCGATTTGTGTAAAGAGGAGCGCTCCCCTCCCCCCGCTCCCCTCCGTACATATTTACTTCTGGCGGAGGGGGAGGGGAAAGGGAGAAGAGAGAGAGGGAAAAAAATAGATTAAAAAAAGGGGGAAAAAGGCATCGAGCGGAGCTGCGGAGGTACGGGGCCGGGAGGGCGGCGTGGGGGTCCGCAGGGCCCGGCCAGACGTTGGGGGAGGGGGGGGAGGGGCGGCGGTCCGGCCCGGGGCTGCGGGGCCCCGGGAGGAAAGTTTGTGGCTGTGGGTGCCGCACGTGAGCGGTGCGGGAAGTTGGGCGCGGAGGTCGCGGAGAAGTTTATGAGCTAAGTCGCGAGCGCTCTCCGGTGTGCTCGGCCGCCTCGTGTTCCGTTCGGTGCGAATCAGAGGGGTGATCTGTGGGGTGACCACGCGACCTGCTTCTGAGCACTCAGCCAGGTCGGGAGGAGCGGATTTGGGGGCCTTGTGGGCTGAGCGTCCCGTGGCACTGGGCGTGGATGGGGCCCTTGGTTGTATCCCGAGGGCTCTACTGTGCTGCTGGGTGCTATCCCTGCTTGGGGGGTTGGTTTGGGGCCTCGGCTTGTGCCAAGCCAGCCTGCGTCGAGGCCCAGCGCCTCGAGGTTGGGTTGGGGCCTTCCTTTGGGTGCATTTGTGTGAGCGGTTGTTTCAGAACGTGTTTTGTTAAGGCTTGGTCCTGCAAACCCTTTTGTACGTCTTGGAACTTTGGTGAGCATCTGTCGAGGAGAGTACAGTTGTTCCTAGGTTGTTCCTAGATTGTTCCTGCCGGCCAGAGAGAGGAGGAGATGTGTGGTTGATGGGTTGTCCACAGGACGCGGGTGGTGCACTGTGCATCAAAGTAGCAAACTTTCTGTGGTTTCTTGTAGCCATTTCTTTTGCTTTGCCTTTGGTTAAGGCCCAATGGAATAGCAATGTGATCTATTATCTTCTTGAAGTCACTTGGGACCTTATACTGTCACCGTTGTTGGGTTTCTTGGGGAGCATAGAGTTGGCTCCAGAGAAACAAAGGCTGGTGTGGTGCCATGCCTTGGGAACGTGGTGTTAGAGAGCGCCTGGAAATGCTTGCTCCTCTCAGTGGGATGGAAGTGCGATGCGAGAGTATGGAAGGAGTTGGGTTTGGCTCTCTTCCGATGCTGTGCAGAAGTTCATAATTTTTTGTGCATGGGAATATGCACAGGCATAGCATGTGTTGATAGCATAAAGAATGTCATAATTACAGTTAGGTTCTCTTGCTTAAGCTTTTTTCCCCTTCAAACAGGTAGTCATGATTTTTTTCCATCTTTTTAATATAGGTACTTTCAGTTTTTACTCTCTATGGTAATTATTGATGTTTGTGCAGTGCTTTGAAGTTGTAAGGCATCACGTAAGTGCTATGTACCCAGGAACAGCACTTCAGAGTTCTGTTCCTATCATGAAAGAGTTTGATGCTAAAAGGTGCTACAACCCTATGCATAAAGAGACTCTGGATGGATTAGGGGAAATGGTCAAAATTGCTTATAATGTTGTTTTCAGGTAATATTTTTTAGTTAGGAAGAACAGATCCAAATAACGTAACGCAAACTGAGTTATTTTACCTAACTTGATTTTGGATGCAGAATTTAATTTAACATGGACATCACGTTCGAGTCAGAATGTGTTTGCTGTTAGAAATTTTGTAGTGGCAATAAAGACCCACATCCTACAAGGATATAATTGTGCAGAAGTCAGGAAGTCCTGTAAAGAAACACACACAACTTCATGCACATCAGCAGCCTAGCTCGGCTGAATGAGCTCCACAGATGTCTGTTGAGTCGCACACAGATGAGTGTGTTTTGCATTAGTGGCAGGCAGTGGGATGTGCCTCTTTCTTGATGCTGATGTGTTGGTTTTTTTTTTGGTATCAAAGTGCTATTCAGTGTTCTGCAGAGGCCAAAGTGTGGCCAGTGAGGCACCTTTCCTCAGTACATGTGGAGCCCCAGTTCGTGCTTGCTTGGCCAGCTGTCCTGTCAGCTCCGTGGCCCCTGGCCATTTGGGGTCATGGTACCGTGAACTCGGTGACTTTGCTGGAGGGGACTTCTGCTGCTGAGCGAGATGGGGAGGTTGCGGAAATGCTGAGGTGTGTTGTATGGAAGTACCACTGAGTTCTAAGAACATTCATTTTGTTTATATTGAGAGTTGTGATTAATGCCCTGTGTAGTGACCACCCTTACCGTGTGTTTACATGTGTGCGTGCAGCATAGTCCTCAATAAAGCGTGTGTTTAAAGCTGTAACCATCTGCCCATGCAAGTATTGTGGCTTGGGAGAGAAGTGAAAGCGTGCGTACACAGCGCGCACCCATGTAGGGCTGCTGCAAGAAGTGAGAATAGACTTTTTGTGTGCTCGTTTTCTTAATGTAAGTATAAATATTTGTGTTAGGTGAAGAAATGTCTGAAGCTTCCTGTTAAGAAGGATGATTGATGGCTCTTCTCAGTGCATTTGTGTTGCATTGCAGCATTAATTTCGTACCTTCAAATTAACAAGTGTTGAAGAAACGGTTCCTACGTTCCTGCCATTGTTTCAGGTATTGCTGTCCTCAGTATGTGCAGCTTTCCAAGCACTGTGGTCTCAAATTAGATGGTCTTAATTTCTATGAAGTAGCTTAATGAGAAGAGTGACTTTACTAGGAAAAAGTTCATCTAGTGATACCAAACAGAGTGGATGGAGACAGCCTTATTCATCTCATAATTGGTTTCCTCCGAGATAAAGTATGACAATGAAATAAGGAATAAGAATTATCTTTTGCAGATGAAACTGTAGAGGAATATATTGACTCCATTTTTTTTTTCCTTTTAATTTAGCAAAATTGAATTAGCTGACTTGAGGTAAGAAGCAGTGAGATCGCAGCAGCGTGGCAGTCATTTCAGGAGAGTTGGTGGGTTGAGTGTAACAGTGTGGAAGCCTCTGGAAATCACTACCAGTTTGTGTGGGAACTATGAGCTGTGTTCTTGTTAGGGTTCTGCCTTGTGCTACCTCAGCCATAACAGGAAGGCCCTTTCCATTCTTCTCATGAAAACAAGGCTGAAATGAGTTATACAAAATGCTATGGAGTTTTAATGGTTATGTTTGATTTGGGAGTTGAGTTTTCCTCTGTTTCTGAAAGACCTGTAGAACTGTATTTTAACATATCCTCTGAAACCTTGATGTTGAATTCCAATACCACGTCGGTTCTCTTAAGTCCATTGTGCTCTCCTTTTTATACCACAGAGGAGCCTTAAAAACTTCTACCTTGGTAACAAACAAGTGGTCATCCCAACTGGGAGCTTGTGTGGCTGAATGAGAAAACGTGTCCAGCTGCTGGCTTTGCAGGTCCGGCTGGCTTGGCTAGCCATGGTGCAGCTGGGCCCTGGGGATCTGCTTGCTAAAGAGACTTCTGAGGTATGTTCTTATCTTAGAAATAATGATAAAAGTGCTCGGTGAATTAGCATTACTTTGTTTCAGAAGCAGTGCTGCGTGCCTGCTGGTTCAGCGTGGGGCCCTTGCACATCTGTGAAGCAGGGTACTGATATGGTTGTGTTTTTAGAGATGCTGAGTCCCCACAGTTGCGTTTCGAGTTGGCAGTCGCCGCATGTGCTCAGCATCTCGAAACAAGTCTCATGCATGGCTTGCTGGCTTTTGCAAAATCCCATTAGGGTGTAGTTTCTGTTTCTGGGAGTTGTATTAGTAAAGGCTGTGTTGTGTGCTCTGGCTTGTGTTTATTGTAATTCTTGAGACTCCGTGTTGCAAAGAAGCAATCGTGTTTGTTCATATTGTCTGGCATTAAAAAATTTAGAATCATCCAAAGAAGAAACATATTTTTCTCCTTTTAGTGATCTTGGAGATACATCTCTCTCTCTCTTGCGTGTAGACATGCATAACAGACTCTCCACATCCCATGCTCTGTGCAGAACCGCACACAGTGCTGTTTTGGCTGGCTGGAGGTGCGGAGGCACTGCTCTGGTCACTGGAGCAGTGCAGTCCTTGGCTGGGCTGCATCCAGCTGTCTGCACCTCGTGCTGGGACTCCTTTAACCCGCTGGTGGGCTGGCAGGGGGATTGAGTTGCTTCTCTGCCTTTGTGTGAGTCTGCCATGGAGCTGGCTGGTGACCTACTGCAGATTGCGTGAGTTGGGACTGTGCGACATGTTTCGTTGTACAGGCGTTCAGGAAAATCGTGGAGCATCTTCCCAAGGCTATGAGTTACAGGTCAGATATTTACTATTTATGAATATGTGGTGCCTGAACCACAGAAATTGTCAAGGTTTGGAGCTGTAGATATATAAGCTGTCCCTGAAGCTGTGTCCTTTTGACGTTACCGGTGTTAGTTCAGGCCCATGGATAACCTCTCACCACGCTCAGAGCTGGAAGCTCTGACGGCAGGCACATGTGGGGTGGATTCCAGTCCCCTGGTGGTTCCCTGAGAGTACCGGGCAAAGACGGGGCACTTTGATTCCTAGAAGTCTTCTAGACTGGCCCTGAGGAAGTGCAGTGAGATGTGCATGTCTTCTGTGGGCATTTTTGGCCAGACTGATAGGTGCTTGAGCGTCAGCATGACTTTTGGAAAGTACATTTTTGCCTTGAAAAAGAGCAATGCAAATATTAAATATTTTTTCATTTACCATTGGTAATGGTCTAACCTACAGTTGTGTTGGGCCAGGTGAGAATTGTTGCTATTAGTTTCAGCGGTTGGCAGCATTAAGTGCGGCTGAAAATGTTACATTAAAATACCAATTGATTTCATCTGAACTGAGTCTGTTTGCTGACCCCCTCCCCCCTTTCCGGGTCTGCTGAGCTCACAGAAATGATGACAACTTTACCTTTTTTAGATTAAGTCTAAATTTGTAGGAAAAAATAGTTTTGCTGTTGCGTAGACCTATGGGGGAAATAACAAGAGATCTGGGTCAAAAAAGTAGGGCATGCAAGATATAGAAGCTGTTGGAGTGCATTTATTTGTCCTGTGCTAGGTTAAAGGAAGTGTTGGTGCTTTCGGTTTGGCAGTGTGTCCTGCACTGCTGTGTGCTGCAAAGGAGCACGGCTGTTAAATGAGGAATCGCAGCTAATTTTTGTATGGATGTCAACATTCTTCTCCAGCGCAGAATTTTTTGCTTGGATGTTAACACAAACATGCATTCCT